GGCTGTTTTCGCCGTTCCCAGATACACAGAGAGGATCTGGAGCCAGGTAAGAAAGAAAAACGGGCCTACCAGGCCATCATGTGCCAGGAGCGGGGGCAGGGGGAGGGGGGAGGGGGTTGCACACACATGCACGTGGGCACGTGCGCGCACGACCCTTCCCCGCCCCCCCTCTCCTGGCATGCGATCACCAAAAGGTTAGCCATCACTGACCTATAGTGTTGTAACTTTAAATGATCAAAGAACAAATACTGTAGTTGTAAGCCGAGGACTACCTGCATATGAATAGCATGGCCATTGCAAGTACTGGAAAGGCAAATGCCATTCAGAATTTATGGGAACTAGAGAGAAGCAAAACACCACTGTATTCAACCAGGTTTGCCAACAGATCACTCCTCTAATTTCCAAATAGTTTATTCTGTTTGTCAAAGAGGACACTCTTTTCTACAAGCTCCAGGATGTATTTTGTAATGTTTTTGAATAGATGTTGCTCTGCAAAATTCTGTGTCAGATTTGAATCTCACCACTCTAGACAGTAGTCCTTTTTCAGGGAGAGGCCTGATATGGCAGAAGGCTCAGATCAGTGGTGGGTTGCTCCCAGTTCGGTCCAGTTCTTGCGAACTGGTAGTAAAAGCAGTGGGAGGCTCCGCCCATCCACCCAGATGTCATCATGGACGCAGAAGCAGAAACTCAAGCACTCACAAGAGTGAAGCGAGTGCGCCAGAGGTGGGTTTCAGCAGGTTCTGACCAGTTCTGGAGAACCAGTAGCGGAAATTTTGAATAGTTCGGAGAACTGGTAGTAAAAATTCTGACTGGCCCCTCCCCCATCTATTCTCTGCCTCCCAAGTCCCAGCTGATCGGGAGAAAATGGGGATTTTGCAGTAACCTTCCCCTTCCATGCCCACCAAACCATGCCACGCCCACCAAGCCACACCCACAGAACTGTTAGTAAAAAATTTTGAAACCTACCACTGGAGTGCATGTGCGCGCTCCCATTGCGAACTGGTAGTAAAGGTAAGTAGAACCCACTCCTGGCTCAGACGCAAGGCTCCTCCTGGCTAGACTCTGTATTGTAGGCAAGAATGAAACCTACGCAATGATACTCTGCTTTTTGAAGATTAAGTACTTAGTGTGCTTTGCACTGCCTAGTACAAAGAACCCACAGTCCTTTTTATATGTCTGTGCTTCAGAGTTCAAACCCTGGGTGTTTCTCCCATTTTTCTGAGTTAATGGATACTTTGCAGTATGCTTAGTAGCTTTTGGCAGATCACCTAAAGTTTGGGCCATGGTCCTTTCTGGCCTAGGACCTACAGGGTGATCACATGGTTGCAGCCACCATCTTAACTTGATGTCCTTATTGCTGTCTTACCATAACTGTTGTTGCTTTTTTCAGTTACATACGTCTCTCCATCATTCTGCAACAATGCAAAAAGTTTAATTGAAAGAGTTGTCTTCTGATATATTCGCTTGTGAAAGCAAATATTCCACAAGCAGGGGAAACCAGGGAGGCTGTAGGCAAAGGAAGAGATGATGATATAATGAAAGCTAACACCTAACACTTAAACCTAAAGTAAATACAACAACTCCAGATCCCACTCATGGAAATAGAATGGAAATAGGTTTTTTTTCTTTAGACAGGAATGCTGAAAGCATTCTCTTTTTTACAATACTGAAAAGATTTAAAAATTTTGATCACATTATTTTTGCTCCCATGTACTATTAAAGATTGGATACTTAAGTATATTGTACAGTATGTGAATCTGAAAATCTGAGATTTTCTGGGGTAATTTGTCCAACTCACATTTAGAAATAGAAATAGAATTTGCTTCTGAAAATTCCAACATATTGATAAAGTCAAGATTTATTAACATGAGACATGATAGTGGAAATCGCAGACTGTAGTATAACATTGTTCTCTAAATTGAATGTTCAGTGGCTGTGCAGTCTGCTTTCTGTTTCATTATACAATTAAGACTGAAAAAAGTTGAGTGGGGCTAGAATATTTTTATGAGCCTCCAATTTGTATTTCTGAGATCCTTAAATATTTAGCTTTATAGAGCCCCTGCTTTCATTTCTACTGGTTTTATTTTATTTATACAATTATATTCCAATCTAAGTAATACAAGCCACATAAAATATTTACAAATTAAACTCTAGACTCATATCAGGCAAATTAAAACAAGTTCAGTGCTGAAGTGATAGACAGATAGACTAGTTATCTCTTTCTCCTGCTCAAACTGGAAAGTGCAAGAAATTAATTAATTCATTTTGCGGCTCATGACATCTAGAATGTATTGGTTTGACCTTACTTTAGAAGATTTCAGTTTGTTGAAATGTTTCTTTGCTTGAGGTTTTTTTTTTTTAAGTTGATCTAATTATCATATAAGCAGACATTCCGACACTCTAGACTTTTCAAATTTCTCTCTCCAGCCATTGTACTATATATGTTGCCTTTGAAGTTCTTCATTATATACTTTACCAAGCTTAACTATCTTGTTTTAGCAGCAATACAAATCTTTGATGCCAGTAAAGCAACACTTCTATCTGACTTAAAATGGTATAGGGCAGGGGTATCAAACTCGATTTCTGTCAGGGTTCCGACCGATGCCCTAATAAAAGTAAGAGCCCCAAGCCATTTTGCAAGAAAAATCCAATTGTTTATTAGGAGCGCCATGTCGGCATGAACTAAGTGAAGCCAATTCTGACTTCACCCAGTTTGCACCTTGCCTCTGACCTTGTTGCCCCCTCTCCCCAAGGTGTGTCACCAGGCACATTCCCCAATGAAGCAATTTCGTGGGTTATAGAAGTCACTCCCACCAGTCGTTGTGAGTCTCCATGGAGATGGCCTTGACTTCGGGCAGCTAGGATGTTTTTTGTTTTGACTGAGATGTGAATTCTTGGTGCAGCTGCAAGGCACAATTTCCCATCCCCCTGCTTATGGCAACTCGGGTGCAGGTCAGGAAAGCTTCGCGAGTTGACATTTTCATTGAGGGCTGCATCAGGGTTGTGTTTGACCTTGGAGCGTGGCCAGGGGGGGCATGGCCAACTCGACATCACTCGTGTCGGGGGCGCCTGTAGTGGCCCGAGTGCTCTGCCAGAGAAGACGGCTCCCAAGCTCCATTTTCAGCTGCAACAGCCTCCTGCAATCCTCTGCCAGGGAAAATGGAGCTCGGGAGGGCCACATGTGGCCTCCTGAACTCCGTTTTTGCTGGCAGGGGCCCCACGGGCCAGTCCTTTACTGTTTCCAGGGTATCCCCGCGGGCCAGATCTAAGTACCCCGCAGGCCAGATCCAGCCCCCAGGCCTTGAGTTTGACACCCCTGATATAAGGGTTTCCTTCTTGAGTAGGAGGTTGGATTAAAAGACCTCCAAGCTCCCATCCAATACTGTTATTCTGTTAAGGATCTCTCCACTGGAACAAGGAATCAAGGGAATGTTACAGCAGCATTGAACATCCAACATTTGCAAAGACTTAGAATGCAATAGGTGTCACCAATGCTAAGGCAAATTCTCATATAAGGTGAGAGGAACTGATTCAATCTTCTTCAACCATGGTAACTTTCAGAAGTATTGAATTCAATTCCCATAATTCTAAAAGCCATGAAAAGAAATACTGTTTGCCAAGTTGTTTCTCAAAACTTTTTTCTTTTTCTTTTCTTTTTCTTTTGGACTGCCGTTAAGAAAAGATTTAGGATTTGAACTTCCTTCTTCCTATTTATAATTGGCATTTGGCATTTCGTTGTTTGTTTTGCATTAGTGCATGTAATATAAAATGTAAACACAAGCCTGTTTTATGCTAAATAAAGATCAGCGGAAATATTTATCAGAACCAAGTGAAACAGGAATTTTTCAGTTACAGTAAAATCATAAGCACAGGGTTGAGCCACATATAGTGCAAATAAACCATGTTTAATCTTACTAAATAAGCCACTGTTCCCTCAATAAAGTAAGCTATCAACAGGGACTATGTTCTCAGAACATGCTAAACCAAAATTAAACATACCACAGTATAGCTATTGTGTGATGTGTCAATCCAGCCCCAGTATGTTTATTAGAATCTATCAGGATAACAGTTAGAAATCTGCTCTAATATAAAGCAGAATTAGGGTTACGATAAGTTTGAAATCTTGAGCTCAAATTTGCACTGTTCTAAATATGTTTGCTAATAAATGAGGCCCACTCAGTTCAACAATGTTGAGTTTATTAATTAATATTAGGAATTACAGCCTTAACCTCCCCCCTCACATGCAACTGAATTAAGAGCTCAGTGTACAGCACTGAAATAAATGCATATCATGTGCATAGCAAATTCACATGAAAACTGTCACCTTACCCCATTTACAGAATGATGTTCAGACATTCTCTTTTCCCAATTATAATCCTAGGTAAGTCACAGATTCTTCTATAGGTAGTACTTGTTTAATGAGCACAATTGGGATCAGTCATTAATTGGAGCAGTCACTAAGTGAAATCGCAACTGTTCTTATGGCCTTACTTCAGTTTTCCTTTGCTTTACAGACCTGCGAAGCTTGTAATTGGGACGACCGGTCATACAGTTATTTTTTCATCGCCATCTTAACTTCAGTCATTTACTTGTTTTCTTTTCTTTCCCCACTCAAAAAAAGAAAGCTTTTAAGGGTGAAAACCAGGGGTGGGTTTCAAAATTTTTATTACCGGTTCTGTGGGTGTGGCTTGGTGGACGTGGCAGGGGAAGGATACTGTAAAATCTCCACTCCCTCCCCAATCCAGGGGAAGGTTACTGCAAAATCACCATTTCCTCCCGATCAGCTGGGACTCGGGAGGCAGAGAATAGATGGGGCTAGTCAGAAGTTTTACTACCGGTTCTCTGAACTACTCAAAATTTCCGCTACCGATTCTCCAGAACAGGACAGAACCTGCTGAAACCCCCCTCTGGTGAAAACATAAGGAAAAAGGGTCTCCCACTGTGCTCCTACCTGAGGATTCATTACACAGTAGTTCCATTTATCTCTTCTCTATTTGCAGTGTTGCTGTTCCTTGCTATGTTGCAATAGCTGGATACCTTGCCTGTGCCCTGATGGCCCTTCTTTGTATTCCTTCCCAGACAAAGCCACAGTCCGAGAGAAATGAAGCACAACAGGGTGAGTTCCTGCCACATCTGAGCTTTAAGAAGGGAGAGGGAAACCCAAAATATTTCAGCCTGAAAGTCTGAACTAAAACCATTTGGGGCTCTGTGAGCATTCTTTCAATTAGGCTATGATTGCTTTCCATTTCAGCTGCATAGTAGGAGTTTAGGGAAATTCAGCTTAATCCCAAGGTAGGTGGAAGTGTGATTACTTTGTTTTGCTCCTTGGGGGGAAAAATGCTGGCTTTAATGTATTGAAAACCTTAACTGGCTGGTAGATATACATGCGAGCAGTGTTATGCTAAAGTATTTACCCCAGCAGTAAGTAGGCTGGACTCCCTTGAGTTGGTGTCCTTCACACATTGCAGACTAAAAAAAGGATATGATTTGTTTCTTCATCCCAGCAGCCCATGGATATGATCTGAAGCTGCTTGAGAATATAGTACGGTCTAATTTGAATATCTGCAGCTGATTCCCATAAATTATCTCAAGACTACTTTATGACTAAATGCAGATTCAGGCCTGAAATGACCTTTTTTCCCCCCTTCTTGTCCCTTTGTGTGCTTTTTTAAGCTTGTTTTACCAACCTGCTCAAAGAAAGGTAGAGTGAAGAACTCAAGGATACTACATTTGTGACCTTGGGTCACAGTAAAGATTTGCCCTAATAAAGATTTTAAAATCAGTAGCCTCCTGCTTTTTCATCATATGACATAATATAGGGAAATAAAAGTAGAGCTATTGAATATTGCCTTGACATCTGGCTTGTATTGAGCATAGAATTTTATGAAAACATCCATACTTTCTTTCAAAATTCTTAACCTGTCCAAAGGGAAAGAGATGGGGAAACAGCACAGCATATTCTAAAATCAGCTTTTTCTAAAACTAATTACAGGCATTGGGGTTGTTGGACAGAACTGTAAGACCAAAAGGAGAAGTTTAATCTTTCCATCTCCAGCCCATTAAAACATGGCAACCTGTGTAGCTGCAAGCAATGATAAAAGCATCCCAGAATATTCTCAGAACAGATTGCCATAAAATCACACTGTTAACAGAATAACAGAGTTGGAAGGGACTTTGGAGGCTTTTTAGTCCAATTCTGTCCTCATGCAGGAGATCCTATATCATTTCAGGCAAGTGGCTGTCAATGTTCAGTCTCTTCTTAGAAACTCCAGTAATGGGAGCGCCCACCACTGCTTAATTCTACTGCTTAATTGTTCTGTCAGGAGATTTCTCCTTAGTTCTAGGTTGCTTCTCTCCTAGTTTTCATCCATTGTTTGGTACTTTGGAAAATAGGTTGACCGCCTCTTCTTTATGGCAGCCCCTCAAATATTGGAACACTGCTATCAAATCAACCCTAGTCCTTCTTTTCATTAATCTAGACATACTCAATTCCAGCAGCCGTTCTTCATATGTTTTAGCCTCCAGTCCCCTAATCATCTTTGTTGCTCTTCTCTGCACTCTTCCTAGAGTCTCAACATCTACTACTATATACTATTTACTTTGTCTGCAACAGTGGTTGGGTTTCAAATTTTTCAAAAAATTTTCAAATTTTTTTACTACCGGTTCTATGGGTGTGGCTTGGTGGGCGTGTCTTGGTGGACATGGCAGGGGAAGGCAGGGGCATGCAAAATCTCCATTTCCTCCCAATCAGCTGGGACTCAGGAGGCAGAGAATAGATGGGGGTGGGGCCAGTCAGAATTTTTACTACCGGTTCTCCGAACTACTCAAAATTTCCGCTACCGGTTCTCCAGAACTGGTCAGAACCTCCTGAAACCCACCTCTGGTCTGCAACTACATGGCACATAATTGTCCATATAATTAGAAAACATTTTATATTATTTTGTTTCAAAGGCTTACCTTTGTCTGAAAAATATTTTATCTTTTCCCCACCCTAGGAGCATCCCATTCCAGTAGTGTTTTTAGCTTCCATGAAATTATTCGACTGTTGACACTTCCGGGAGTAATGGATGTTTTTTTAATCAAAGTCCTTTCTGTATTTCCTACAGGTGAGTGTGCTATGATTTTTGGAATAACATTTTTCAGTTATATATGATTTGAGGGGTAGGGGAATAGATTACTAAAATCTTCTGTGATTCTGTCTCAGGGGAAAAAAATACATTTATTTAGGTGCCAATCATATAATGTGACATAGTTACTGGGGCATTTAACACATAATGACGGTTGCTTTGCCCTCTAGGCAATTGCTTTGAGATTATATCTAAGATTTCCTGTACCGTACCTTTCTCAGCTAGGCGCCATCTGTCAGTGTGGCCCTTCAGAATACAGTATTTTTGGTTTTAAGGGATGAAATCGACCTGTAATTTGAAGAAGAGGAGGGGGAGGAAGAGGAGCATTTTTCCTTGTGCCCTTGTTAGGAGAAATGAAAACTGCAGTGACTCTATATTGTATGGTCCAGCATACAACTGGCTGCCATTGAAATTTTAGCTGGTTTTCCATTTGGAAGTTCAGTTTCAGAGCATTAGGAAGATGAGCTTGAGGGAAAGAGGCAGGTATTTTTAAGTAGGCAAAGGAGGCAGAGACATTCTTAAGTGCTGGGAAGAGAAGGAGGTAAAGCACAATCAGACATGCAAAATGTTTTTTTATAGCTTATCTCAATAAACTATGGTTGATTTTTCCAGTGGAATCTGTTTCCTGATCTAATCTACATCAAAGGGCTGACATCTATCTTGCAAGCCTCATCGTGTTTTTCCTTGTTTATTTCCTTCAAGGTCATTTTCTCATTCTCTAGTTTCAACTCTAAAAATAAGATCAGTAAAACACTTAAAGAGTCCAGGCATGGACTGGACTTAAACATTGAGTTAATCCACTGTTTGCTTTCTACCCCATAACATACCCCATAACAATTGCTGAGTTTATACAGCATGCTAAATCCAAATCTAAATCCAAATTAAACAAGTCATAATATAGCTTGCTGCATTCCCAACCATTGTAGATTATATTGGATTAGACTGTATAATGATGTAGTTCAATATGCAGTGGCTTCCTATTATGAAAATATGAAAAGAAAAGAAAAAGTCAGGCTATTTTGATTCCACTGAATTTAATGGCAGACTTTTGATTTACCCACCACCTATTTCGTGAATATAATGGTGTATCAGTATTGGAATTAGAAAACGCAGCTGATGGAACTTGAGATCCAGACACAAATGGCAGGATTGGAAGATTTCCAGTAAGAGAATTGGACAGTTGAAGGCCTAATCTAGGTCGAGGCTGATAGCTCTTTGTTAAAAAAGGCTAGGTAATCATAACAGTGGAATTTAAACTTACACATCAATGCAAAAGATCTTTTTTTCCTACTTCAGCATTCATTCCTTTAGCATTTTTGTAATGAAATCAATTCCACAGAATTCTTAAAGGATTATACTATTAAACGCTTTTCCTGAATATCTGGGATTTTTTTTCTATGCAAAGCTGATCCAGTATGGTAAGATTTTAGGAACAAGATCTAACCTTAGAGTCTGAATTTGTATGGTTGTTATCTGTTGATTCATATTGCAAGTTGTAGGAAGTATCTCCAGAGAAGCATTGTCCTGTGTTTTCATGCATTTTCTCCATTCATATAATTATTTCAGTCATGGAAACAATACATAATTCTAGAGTGTTGCCTTTATTTATATTGTAAGCAAGGCTACGATATACATTATATACAAAGACCCAGCTTTCTTGTTTACAGTATTCTGGTCTAAACCAAGGTTATTTCAACATATATCTTGAATTTCCTGCACAAATCTGGAATTTAGACTCTGACTTTCCCACCTGGGTAGGAATTTTTCAAAACAATAATAACCCTAAAGGAAACTATTTTAAAAAGCATGATTCTGTTAAACACAAACTGTTTTCTTGTGTACATTTTCCTGATATATATACTTCTAGATATTCCCAATAAGATAACCTTCAGTGAGATTGTTCTGATTCTGTCTCATTAAAAACCGCAATAACAATTTCCTTGGTTATCCTAAAATAAGGGTTTTTGTTTTTGTTTTAACCCTAGGGGTGTTCCTAATTATGCTTTCCATCATATCCATCGATTTCTTTGGTCTGGAAGTTGCACATGCTGGGTATTTGATGTCCTACAGTGGAATCCTTCAAATGGTAATACAATGGGCATTGACAGCTAGTCCTCGTATTCTTTCATTAGATAATATAGAAATAAGAAAATGCAGCCCATATATTTATGGAAAAAAGAAAATGCATCTTCAGTATGTGGCATTATTTTTAGTGTATGTATGTCCATGCATCTGTGTGTGTGTGTGTGTGTGTGTCAGTGTGCATAAATAAATTTAATTTTAGATATATAGATATGTAGCTCTATATATCATCAGAGCTATGATAGCACCTTCAGGTGTGTCAGATGCTCTACTAAGCTTTTCCCTGGGATAGAGTCACACATTGCTGGGAGCAGAGATTTTGTGCTTGGGTGAAACCCTATCTGAGCTATTTGTATTATTCTGAGACTGCAGGGCAATCTGGACCCTATCTCCCATCAACTTGTCAGTATCATTATCTCTGCATTAGAGAGGAATATCTGAAGCATCTATTCCCATCCCTGATATAAAGACCTTTAGCCAGGTCAGGATTCAGGAGGTGGGAAGGGAGATATTCCTAAAACTTGCCCTAATTGAGTTGGTTTTTCTTCCTCAAGAGTTGGGATAGTTTTTGCGATTTTCCCTGTAGCCTCTCTTCAATGATTAAGCAAGAATAATGGCTTTGAATCAGAGGTGGTATTCAGCCGGTTTGGACAGGCAAACTGGTAGCGGAAATCACGGGTGGGCCTGCCCACCTGCCCTGCCTCTATGCCATCCTACTTAGGGACATTTTTGAGGCAGGGTGCATGTGCAGAAGCCGCACACACGAGCAAAGCACATGCACAGAAAGCCGGGTGCTTGCGTGGAAGGCAGGCGCATGTGTGAACTGGGCGTGCGCGCATGCGAAGCAAGCGTGTGTGCGTGCAGCGAACCGATAGTAACAAAATGTGAAACCCACCACTGCTTTGAATATTGCTAATATAACCTCTTACTACCAGGAACCCAAGGAAATTGGTTTGGACTTTTCTTTTTCCAAAAACCACCTCCCTTCTAAAAGGAAGAAGAACTTTCAGCTTCAGATAGCTCATGGATATTTGCTATTTAATATGTTGCTGGGAACAGACAAGCCTGGTAGGATTTTTCAGATACAGTTTTCTAGATCCCAACTCATCAGTATTAGGGGGAAAAAGATATCTTTGTTTTATCATGCAAGTTTTAATTTTTTTAGTTTGTTAAAATGCAGAGTTAACAAAAAATTAGTTATGAAATTTGTCAAATCAGCCTTAAGGCTAAGCCTGCCTGTGAAGCAAAGCTCAATCACAGTCATCTCTTGCTTTTACTAAAGTGATTTCTGTTTTAATATCTTTTGGCCTTAGCATCACAGAGATCCATTTTACTTTTCAAATAGTCTGCTGTCATTTATCAGATACAAAGGTTGGGAAGGTTAAAAAGGCAGGGAATTTCCAAGGCCTGTAATTGGATAAGTGATGATTAATGTAATGCGTTCCGCCATTTTACTGTATTTTTACCACACAGAAGAATAATTTTCAGCGATCTTTATCTCCCTGAAGTTTATACAGAGCACTGATTGCTTTTGTCTTAGTGTGGAGCAAAATGAATTTTACCTATTTTATTTAGAGATCTGGGCGCCAGTGGAGAATTTCTTTTTCTCTCCCTTCAAATGTGTAAACATAGTCCTGCAAATGGTTTTCTTTTTAAGCTTTGGGGAAGAAAGTTGGCTGGTTTTGACCCTGAAACATAGAAAACAAAACTGCCCTGTTTGCTTTAAACCACTTTCTGTATGTGTGTATGTGCAGAACAAAATAGCGTGGTTATATGGAAACTCAAACAGACACACACCCATTGTGTATGAGAAGGAAGGAGGCATCTGCTGTAGTGGGAAGAAAACGCCATTTGTTTGTCTGTTCTCATAGCATACATTCCACATTAAGAACAAAACGGGAGGGGATGTTATGCTCCTTTGGAAAAAAAAAATATTCCCTCATTCAAGAGGTTTTGCCTCTGCTCTTTAACGTGCCAAAGAGCTTTCCTTCTTCCTAGAGGAAAAAAAAGAAAAGAAATATTTCATTTTCTACAGCTTTGAACCATTTGTTCTTACGTCTTTTCTCCTTCAATAGCACTTATCTTCATTGTGCTTTTAATTTAGCGATTATGAGACCACAGCATCTTTCCAAGGCCACCAAGGACCCGCCTCATTTGTTTAAAAATTGCTCCAAAATAGTGTCTTTGAACAATGTTAAAGGTTGCTTCTTAACCAGCAATCTTTTAAGCATATAATCCATGAAAATGTCTCCAAAATTCAATTAATTTTTTTTTGCATCACACTTTCCACTGAGTTTAAACAGCTCTGTTTTTCCAAGAGATGACTATGAAATTTTTAATTCAAAACTTCTCAAACTCAGAAAATGCCCAGTAATTGTTAACAATTATTTTCCACCATTCGTTGAATAAATATTAAGTTAATTAGGTAAGACTTTTTTAATAATAATTTGATAATAATAATCAGAATGATTTTTATTGTTTTCAGTTATGTCTTGGCCCACACTTGAAACTCACAAAAGATGTGATACACCAAATTCTTATTAGCTTGTCTTCCCCCTCACCAAACAGTTTTATAAACAAACTGCTCTCCTTATATCAATGTTTACTTATTTAGTAATTTCACAATTGATGGAAGCTTTTTCCAATCCAATTTCTACCTAAAAACCTCCACTAGTGAGAGTTTGCACAAAGCTGTTAATGTCAACAACTGAATAGTGACTTCCATTTAGAAGGGCTTTACATAGAAGATTGTCAGAAGGTTGATCATCATAGGAGATGATATAAAACTTAACTGTAAACTAGCACATATGTGTGAGGGGAACCTTTACCTTTACCTTTAGGCATTTAATCCTAGGGCATATCCCAGCACATTACCTAGAAGGCAGCTGCTATGCCTTTTCCTCTTTCCCTGCACCTTCCCAATTTAGTCCCATGTCCTTTCAATGCCTTTGTACTTCCTTTCAATATGACACATGACAAATCCCCAAAGACTGAATGCAGAATTCATCTTTGAAAAAAACCTTCCTTTAGCCAATCATTGTCTACTTGCATTTATAGCAAATTGCCTTGGCCAAGATCGAAGGATCTTCTCCAGTTAATTATCCAGTTTTGTGTGGTAATACCAAAGTGTATGTTCTGTTAATTCAAAAGATAAACCATCCCACCCTTGTTGTAATATCCATACACTGTAATCCTTTTTCAACTAGCCAGATTGGTCTTTTGGTAAAAACACTCCTGGCATCTTTTGATGATTTGATGACTTCCCAGATACTGCTTAGACTAAGATTGTTGAAAGAGATTTTTCCTTAATTTTAATTCCTGTTTTTAAAAAATCTTCTCAGTCTATGGAGATTTTCAGTCATCCTGATCCTGGTTGTCACAAAGGTGCTTTTTCAAAAGGCAGCTGGACTTTCTATGTTTCTTTATTGAAGACAAAACAAAGAAACCAAAAGATGTCCAATTGCCTATTGAAAAAGCTCCTTTGTGACAATCTTCTCAGTCACATCTAAAAGTTGTGGTTGGGTTTATGAGAAAAGTAAACCTAGTGAATAGGTGATATGAAAGAAGATACAGTCAAGTAAACAGAATTTATCCAAAAATAACATAAGAGGGTTGTGGAACAAAGTGAACTTTTTTTCAAAAGGATTAATAAAATCAGTTCTAACTTGGAGTAAATCAATTGTGATATTCTCAGTGTGTAGCATGACCAAAGTTGGAATTGTTCATAGCACACAACTCAATGATAGAACTGTAGGCAGCCTGATTTTATTTGTATGCTTGTTTGTTTATCAAATTTATACAGTTTCCTATCTCATTAAAATGATTCTGAGTGGCATACAACAATTAAATAAAACAATGAATATGTAAAAATGGCCCTTATTTAAAACATAAAATTAGCGCACAGGAAAGAGTGAGTATTAATTGTAATGATGAACCATCTTAAAATATCACCAGTGTCCTGGGAGCTCACATAGCAATAGCAATAAGACTTATATTCCACTTTACAACACTCTCTAAGCAGTTTAAGAGTCAGCATATTGCCCTCACAATCTGGGTCCTCATTTTACCAACCTCAGAAGGATGGAAGGCTGAGTCAGCCTTGAGCCAGTTAGGATCAAAAGAATCAAACTCCTGGCAGTGTGAATAGAGGTAGCCTGTAATATTGCATTCTAACCACTGCGCCATCACCGCTCTTAGCCAAGTCTTGAGGGACTTGTGGAACATTAAGAGGGATGGAGCTAACTTCACCCTAGGATGTGGGGTGGGGAGAATGTTTCATAATGCAGGCACTATAGTGAAGAAGGCCCACCTCCTGGGAACTGTCAAATCCCTAGGAGACACAGCCAGCAACATGCCTCTCTGCCAGATCTCCTGGGACAGGCAAATTTAACTGGAGAGAGATGATCCCTCAGATAACCTGGTCCCATTTCATGAAGGGCTTTAAAAGTTAAAATCAGCATCTTGAATTGGTCCTGGAAGCACATAATTGTTCATGCCATTCCATTCTAAACAAAGCTGAATCTTCTGGATACTCTTCAAAAGGAGCCCCATGTAGAGCGCTTGACAGTAATCCAATCTGGAGGTGACAAGGGAATAAGTGACTATGAGCAGAGCCCCCGATCTAGGAACAGCACAACTAGCGCACAACACAAAGCTGTGCAAAGGCCCTCCTAGCCACAACTGCCACCTGCTCTTTGAGTGGGAATGGTGAATCCAGAAGGACCCCCAGATCATGTACCAAGTCTGTCTGTGGCTACCTGTCTGATGGAAGAGATTCAGAAGCTGAGTTTAATATGAAAATTATTCAACCATCAAAATATATAATTATTAGTGGTTGTGCTTGAATATATCCAGGAAAAAAGATTAATTATAAATTTAGGAGTTGCTTTTTTCTATAGAGAAGATCCCAGGAAATATAACAATCATGTGTATGTACATCTAAAATGTATGCAAAAGGCACATTCCAAATCAATGAATCTGATCAATGAATTAATAATGGTTTTA